ATATATATTTTAGTAGTGCTGGGGATCAAACTCAGGGCCTTGGCCATGCTAGGCAAATGCTGTATACTGGGCTTTATTTCTTGCCCCAGCCCCATGATTTCTCTCTTGTTGAGGCAAATTCTCACTATGTAGTTCAGGCCGTCTTCAAACTCCTGATGATCCTCCTGCCTCTCAGCCTCCTGAGTACAGGGATCACAGGCACGTGCCATCACATCTGACCCAGCCTTGTGATTTGTGATAGCAGGAAAAAAAAACCACAAAAAAATTCTAGTTTCTTAATGCGCAAACTGGAAAAGATGAGTGGTGACCTTGGTATAATGAAAGAATAAAGAATAAAGGCAATTTAAAGCATTTTAAAAAAGAGAAATGAGCTAAATGCCTAAGTTGCTCACTGTAGCTAATACCTGCTAGAAAAACCTCAATGTAGCTGCATTATGTAGATTTTATGTTCAAAGCCACTTAAAAGAATTTCATGTTGTTAATAAAACGACAAAGACTAAGTAGTAAAATGGAAAATGTAGGGCAAAATAGAAAACATTTATTATAAAAAAAGTATGTCTTGTACTTGCCTTGTAAATAAAGTTGACAAACAGAATAAAATATACTGAATATTAGGTGACATACATACATGCTAGCTAAGTTTTCTTCTACTGAGCTACAACCTCACCCCTAATTTTCTTCTTTTTGAGACAAGATCTCACTGTGTAGTTCACACTGGCCTCAGCCTCCTGACTGCTGGGAGTACAGGCACGTGCTGCCACGCCTAGCCCCAAATTTTCTTCTTTTAAACTTTATTTTAATGGGTATGTGTCAATGTCTTACCGAGTTCTCTTGCTACTATGCCTTTTTCTTCCTCCCCTCAAACCTGGCACATCAGACTTGTCAGGTGGCTTCAGTATTTGCTACTACATTCTTGAGCTCCAGGCTTCTGCTACCCTTATGCCTAGGAAGAGCTCATGGATGGCTTAACACTGGGGCAAGCACACCAGGACCCCGGGAGCTGGGAGAAAGGGGTGAGATACTAACCGGCTCTCAGGCTCCAGTTTGCAGCAGATGGCGGCTAGGGGGAAGAAGGCTGGGGGACAATCTGTGGGGACAAATTTCTCCCAGAAGAGCTTCACGTTGAGGCCAAAATCCAGTGTGCGGGGCAGGCAATCAGGATCTGCATACACCTGTCCAATGATCTACAGGTGAGAGCACAGCTGTCAGGAAGGGCTAGAGGTTGCAGGTACGTGCAGGGGAAAGGGATACTGTGTGCGGACAGAAGGATGTCGCTATGGCTACATCTAAAATGTCTTCCAGGTGGGCCTGGTTGGAGGAGGTGGGTTCCTGGGTACATAATCTTTTTTGGTACCGGGGATCGAACTCGGGTGCTTGTGATTGCAAGGCAGGCAGCAGCACCACTGAGCTCCATCCCCGGCCCTTGGAAGGGCGTATTCCCATCTCTGGCTCCTCCCTTTTATCTCTGCTTCTTGGACACCATGAGGTGAGCAGCTCTCCTCCGCCAGGCCCCTCCACCATGTTGCTTCTGCCTTGGAGCCTGCTGACTATGGACTGAATCCACTCAAACTGTGAGTCAAAGTAAACATCTCCTCCTTTAAGTTGCAGATGTCCCAGAGACAGAAAAGCTGACTAATACACATGTGCGGAAGAGGAAGTGGTAAAAACTTAAGATTAGATGGCTATCCCTCACCCCTATCTTTCCAAATCCTGCTAACCCAAACCTCTCTTGAGTCTGGTTAGTGAGGAGGGTTTAGGAGAGGCCTCACAGCAGCCAGAAAGTGGGCAAAAAAAGAATTAAGATGTGTTATGCACATGTACCAAGTCCCTGTATAAATATAATCATTATGTATTGCAAATGTGTACTAATAAAAATTAAAACTAAAATTAAAAAAAAGAAGAGGCTTCATTTCAGCAGAGCGCCATGTTCTAAGTGGTATTCACAGGCGGGAAGCTTCCACTTCTACCCTGCCCTGCCTATAGCCGTATCATCTCTGAGTCAAGACTGTGAGCAAGGACTTGGGTTTATTCATGTCTAAACACTTTGGCACCTGCTTAATGCTCTGTATACGTTAGCTGCTCAATTCGTATCTGTTAAAGGAAACAAAACAAAAACTTTTATCATTACTCTAACCATCCCTCGTCTTTCTTCTCTCCCACTTACGACTTTGTTTTGAGGAATTAGAGAAGCATGTTTTCAGCTGAATGCTTGGAGACAGATGTACTGAGCAATGCTGCCATGTGACTGCTAAGCTATCGAAGGCAGACATCTTTCCGTTACTTCCTCTGTACCTCTGGGTACCTAGCACAGGGCCAGAACCTCCTGGAATGGTTACTTCACCTTGCCAGATCTAGAGTGGGGGCACCACCAGGGCCTGTGGAGGGAGAACAGGAGGAACTGGGAAGGGTTAATGCGGTCTAAGAGCCTCACGGACAGTATTATGCCTTTCCTACTGAAAGTCTCAGTCTCACCTGCTTCTTACTGACCAAGTGACTAAGAGCTAGCCACTGCTCCTTTTTTGAGTCTGTTTCTTTATCTGAAAAAAAACTTGCTCAGTCATTTTTATGGAACATATAAATGGCACATCTTATAAGTGGTAAAATACTGTGCATGTGTTAATTTTATGGTTAGTTATTCTTTCCTAGGAGGAGCCCTAAATCTGAGGCAGGGCCAAGCTGGTAGGGCTGCTATCTGAAGAGTGGCCTTGGTGCTAGAGCTCACCTCACAGAGAACGATCCCAAAAGAGAAGACATCCACAGTCTCATCGTAGCTCTTTCCTTAGGGAACAGAGAAGAGCAGGCTGTTAAGTTTGCATGCCTCATCTGCTCTGCACTGGTCTCGGGTCAAGCCAAGCCACAGCCAAGAACCAGGGCTAGAGTAGGTCCTGTAGAGATGCCCCAGACTGATCAGAATGTGTTCTACCTGAAAATCACCTCAAGCCAGGTGTGGGGCACATGCCTATAATCCCAGCACTCAGGAGGTAGAGGCAGGAGCACTACCATGAGTTCAAGGACAGCCTGAACTACATAGCGAGACCCTGTCTCAAAAAGGGGAGTGGGATTTAGCTCATGGGATCTGCTGCCTACTTTGCAAGCAAAGGGTCCCAAGTTTGATCTCCCGTACCCCAAAAAAGGGGGAACTCATCTCTCCTCATGCAACTGCACATACAGATTCATCCAGGCTCTGTCATTATCTAGCTGTCTGCTTTTGAGCAAGCCAACGAATTTCCCTGGGCCTTACACTCTGAAAAGGCTGTATGTATCCCATCACTTCTAAGGCCTCACAACTGTTTCAAATATGCCAGCCAGGATAACTAGCTAGTTTGAGCATCATCCTCTAGGGGGCAGCACACCTAAATTCTCAGCCTGGAGAGAGAAAAGGCACAGTGGTGGTGAACCCATGGCACTTGTGCCACAGCGGGCTGTTTGTTATCATCGAAAGCTTTAAAAGGTTCACCATCACTGGAGGGCAATAAATAACCTGAGTTCTCACTTACCCTCTAGGTGAAAAAGCCAGTCAGACTTCACCATATGCCCAGGATGGCACACTGACTTATTTCCCAACACTAAACTCAGGGTGGATAGTTTATGAAGACCAGCCTGCTGAGGTCTAAAGAAATCATCCAGCCGGGACTGGGGAGGGCAGAACCAGTGGTGCCATAGCCTGCCTTGCAAGCACATGGTCCTGAGTTTGATCCCCAGTACCAAAAGCTAAAAATAAAAAATAGTAATAATAATAATAATAATAAAAAATCATCCAGCCGGCATGGTGGCGCACACCTGTAATCCCAGCCCTTGGGAGGCTGAGGCAGGAGGATTGCTGCCAGTTTGAGGCCAGCCTGGGGTACACAGTGAGTTCAAGGCCATCCTGGACTACATAGTGAGATAACAAAACAAAAGCAAACAAACAAACAAAAACCATCCAACCCTCAGCTCTAAGTATCTGGCTCTACTCTTCACAAGCCTCCCCAGGAGCTTCCAGGGCTTGGCTGCAAGATGTGGCTCTGTCTTCCCTCTGGGGCATCCCCTCCAGGACTTTGGGACTTACCATTCAGCATCTCAGGAGCCATCCAGTAGGGGTTTCCCACCACTGTATACCGCTTCCTACGGTCACTCTTGCGCAAGGTGCGTTTCTTAGTGGTAGCCTTCTCCACTGGGGGCCTTTTCCTTTCTTCTACTATGAGCCGTGACAGTCCAAAGTCTGCTACCACCACAGTCTTGTCCTGGTAAGATAAGGGCCTGGTCAGGACCTGCTGGGGACATTTTCAAACCTGTTCTCCAACCTTAAGCTACGAGTATAGGCAAGAGAAGCCACTACTAAGAAGAGAAACAAAGTACACAGAAGAGGAGAGTCACACCAGAAACCTCTGCCAGCTTTCTAACCACACACGGCTGGCATGTGTTTCTACTAGTATGGTATCCACCCCACTGCCCAAGATGGGTTTTACAACAGAGCTGACAGCCTGGCAGTGGGAGGGCTCTGGAACCTGGAGAGTGGACCTCAAAGGCGGTCAGGGGGTTTCTTTTGTTTTGGCTTTCCCCTGCTCTGCCTGGTTACTAAAAAAGATTGGAAGTTATTGCTAGGACCGGATAAGAGAAAAAGACAAAGTAGAGGCAGTCGGCGTGGGGAGTGAAGGGAGATAAACTCTTGGGATAGCTACAGGGCAGTCATGTGAAAAGGGATAGGTCCAGAGGGCAGAACCAGGCCATGTGATGGGCACACAGGAAGCCAGACTGCAAGTCAACAGGAGAAACAACACTGTAACAACCAGAGGGGCAGTGGGAGGAATGAGGGCACCAGACTGATCACTATACATGAACTGGCCGTGGTGGCCCCAGGCTGAGGTTTTAGGTGCTATTGCTGTAAAACAGGACAAGCAATTACCTGCTTTACAGGACTATTATAAGTTAAACCAGATAAAACGACAGGGCTCTATGTATAATTAAGGAATTTCTGAGATCCTTTCCATGTATATATGGGAAGTGTACTGGGTGGGGGATTAAAGTCAGGGATGCTCTACCATTGCTTAAAAACATTTTCTTTTTGAGACAGCATTTTGCTATGTAGTTCAGGCTGGGCTTGAACTCACTATGTAGCCCAGGCTGGCCTCAAATTTGAAGAGATCCTCCTATCTCAACCTCCCCAATGCTGAGATTATAGGTGTGCGTCACACCTGGCCACTCCCAGCCCTTTTAAATTTTTGAGAAACGGTTAAATTGCCCATTAAATTGCCCAGGCAAGATTGAAATTTGCTGTACTACCTTAGCCTTCCTGAATCCTAGGATTACAGCTGTGCCTCACTGCCTGGCTATTTTTTGTTTTTTGAATAGTGCTGTACTCTGATCCTAGGGCTTCATGGTGGGTAAGTGCTCTACCAGAAAGCTATATCATTAGCCATAAAGCCCTTTCTAATCAAATGATTTAAAATTGCTGCTGACACAAGTTGAAATTGTATGTGCATGCATCTGGGAGCTTTCAGAAGACAGTGGAAGGTGCTGGAGGCACTACAAAGGGTAAGACAGAAGCCCTTAGGCAACATCTCTGGCCTGAAGCCACAGGGAATAGTCAGCTTCCTGTAGGACAAAGAAGCTGGGAAGGCCAGCGGCGCCAAGGAAGTTTACACTAGACCCAGAGCAGTGGGACATACCAACTTGATGAGGCAGTTGTGTGAGTTCAGATCCCGGTGGATGATGCACATGGAGTGCAAATAGGCCTGGAACACAAACATGAGCCAGAGTGTCAGTATATGATTCTGGAGGTGGGGGCAATGGAACCTGCTCTTCTCCCAGGCCATGTCCCCACACCTTTAGAACCCAACTTGGACAATATGGCGGCCTCTTCCGCCCCCCGCCCCAGCCAATGTTTGGTCCCAACAACCAACAGAAAACCAAAGGCAACCCGGGCTTCCTCTCCTTCCCTGCTATTTCCTGTCTGTTCTTTTGTTCACCCATCACCAGTCTGGGCCTGGCTTAACCCCCACTGTTTTCTTCTAAAGGCCCCAACTCCAACGGGGCCAGGCTTATGCATCCCCATTTTATTTAGATCAAAACCATCTGAAGTGAATGCCCTCAGATGTACTGCTCCTCTTCCTCCTCCAACTATGATTCAGCTATCTTGGATCTTTCCTGCTGTGATGGGGCAAAAGTGACCTCCCTCCTGGTTCTGTGTTCCAGACATTTACCTCTCTCAAGGCTCTATGGTCCTCATTCTTGCTATACCTTAACCCATTCCTCTTGACATTCCGATATTTCTAATCAAGTTCCTGTTGGCTATTTCCCCTCTGCAGGCCTCCACCTCTGGCTCTTGTAACTCTGGGAAGCCACTTCTTTCCTTACCTCCCTGCACATGTGGAAGGAGTCATGTGCCTTGTCCAGCTCCTACCCCCCTGGAGATGCTCACACACCCCAGCCGACACATCTTGCTCATCTCCGTAGCTTATGACCTAGCTGCCTGTAGATCCATCCTCAAGGTTGCCCATATCTCTCCCATGCTTCCTGCTCCTGAGATCTTTGTGTGTCTGGTTTTTCTTTCCAGTCTCCTCAGTGTCAGCTCTTCTCTCTCTCTCTCTTTTTTTTTTTTTTGGTACCAGGGATCGAACTCAGGTCCTTGAGCTTGCGAGGCAGTCACCAGAACCACTGTGCTAAATCCCCAGCCTCAGCTCTTCTCAAAGTCATCTTTTCACAACATAACCTCTACCAACCTTATGGATGCCTCTTTTGCCCACAGCTCTGACTGACTCTTCTCTGTAAATACCTAGGTGACCAGGAGCCCATCCCCAAGTCCTGCTTCCTGCCAGTTACCTGCCCAAGAGATGCTGAAAGGTTCTGCTGACAGATCAATCTTGGCACGCACCAATCCCAGCTCAAACCTGTTCCTTCACCATCACTGTCTGCTAAGTGGCACCATTACTCTTAAGTTCCTTAAGCTACCTTGCCTCTTCCTGTAACCCTTGTTCGCTTACTCTCCATTCTGACACCATCCTGCCCCTACCCCCCATCTCTTATCCCCACCAACACTTCAATTTAGAAACGCTAAATGTTTCACTGGCCCCTCTACCCAGGTTCTCCCTGCTCGAGACTCTGCTTGCTATCTGTTGAAGCACAGTGACCTCAATTTACCTCCAATCTACTGTTCCAGACTGTTACTGTTCCAGGCTACATGGACCTCATGGGAGAAGCAGAAGGTAAAATCTCAGGTGTAGGGATCAGACTGACTAGCTCAAGATTCAAACTATGTCCCTTTTTAGCCTCAGTTTTTATCTGGAAACAAGGGTTGTTGTGAGGAATAAACATGCTCATGTATGTTAATCCCTTACCTCAGTGCCTGGTACACAGAAAACACTTGGTAACTATCAGTGGTTTTGATTACTAGGATTGGATTCTTTCCTCCCAGGTTTTTGCTGCAATCATCACCTAAACTCGGGGGCCTCTCCGCCAACAGAAACTTTTATCTAATTCCGACTCATCTTTCAGGACTCATCTAGAATTCATTTCTTTCTTCTCTGATTTCCTAGGCCGTGAAATGCTCTGCTTGCTCCAAGGGCCCTCAACGTGTGGACACCGCACTGATACCAAGGCCAGACCACCTCATGCTACAGTTTGCCTCTTTAGTTTGCCCTTAGAGATTTGGAATCCTTTGGGAATTGGGTTGTGGCTGAAAACAGTTGTCCGGGAGCAACTTCAATAGCACAGAGAGAAAACATTAATAATAGCGGTTCAATGACTCAGCCACGTAAGCTCCGGATGGGGTGTCTGTCTGCTAGTGCTCCTTTCAGTCCTCACACCTCTCCTTACTCTTAGCCTGGCAGGGCTGCTGGTGAGACTCACCATTCCAGATGCGATGCCTTTGGCAAACCTGACCTTCTGCTGCCAAGGGAATGGGTCCTGCAGGGTGGGGAATGCAAGTCAGATGCTGTGGGGTCCGGTCCCCATGGGTCAGCCTCCCTGTCTCCACCCAATCCCACCCAGCATGATCTTCTGGGGTCAAAGCAAGGCCCTCAAAGGCTCCAAGACAGTAGGAGGCTGACAATCTTTTAAGGCTCTTGGTGACTGCGGGATCATATGCTCACCACACTGCGCAGAAAGTCCTTCAGTGTGCCCCCCTCGATGTACTCTGTCAGCAGGTTCAGCTTCTTATCCTTGTACAGCACACCAATGAACTTGAGCACATTGGGATGGTCCAGGCTGCGCATCACTTTCACCTGTGGTTAGAGGAAGCCACAGAGGTTAGGGGTTAACTTCACATCAAGTCTTCCCCGCCTCCTCCCTCCAGGGACTGGCTTGGTGAGTGTTAGCTGCCTCTCCGACCTCCTCCTGTTTCTCCACTAGGATCAGAAAGAGAACACCACTATCCAGATGGGATGGCTTCACAGGCCTCATCCCAGGGATCCTGTTTTCTAGAAACTGCCCCGGGAAACTGGAGTGGACCGGCTCAAAAGTAAAATGAAGGTGGTGAGGGGCACCTGGGCCACAGTAGATGCTTGAGGAGAATCAGTCTCTGGGGCCCCCACGCCAGGCTCTCTTCAGGATATCAGGAGGCAGTTACCACACTGAGTCATATTAAACTGATCTGTTTTCCTGTCCATCACTTCCAACCTGACAGTTACCCTGATCCACACTCATCTGTTATCATATCCCTGTACCTGGCTTGTCCGATGTTTAGTAACTGTTCACTGGACAAATATTTACACTATGGTAGAGGGCGTGGGGATGTTCCTCTAGTGTTCTTTTCCACGCAGTGTTTAAAACAGTGACCCCAAACTAAGTTTCCTCTCAAAACCACTATTTATAAGGTTCTCCCTCTGCCAACAGTGACACCAAATTCCCAATCCTCCCACTTTGTTTTTGTTATGTCGCCCTGGCTGGCCCAGAACTCTGGGGCTCAAGTCGTTGCCCTGCCTCAGCCCTCCAAGTAACTGGCACTACAAACTAGCTGCGACTACACGTATAGTGGCAGCTCCAACCCCCATTTCCTTTATGTCTCCTCCACTCCCTCTCCTCTTACCTCTTTCTTTCCACCCCTGCCACCTCTTCTTTTGGTTTTCTGATCAGGGTCTTGTTACGTAGCCCAGGCTGGCCTCAGATTTGTAATCCTCCTGGCTCAGCCTCTCTAGTGCTGGGATTACAGGCATATGTTAACATGCAGGGTGCCAACCCTACTTTCTCACCTCAGTCAGAAAAGTCTTCTGTGTCTCCTCATCACATCGAATTAACTCCTTCATGACCATCACTTTGCCTGTGGCTTTGTGTGTCACCTATAGGGAGAGTGACTATTAATGGCACTGTCAGAGACTGGAGAAAGTTCTGGAGAATTGTTACAATCTAGGGGCAGGGGGTGTAGCTCTGTGATAGAATGCTTGCCGAGGATGTGCAAGGCCTTGAGTTTGATCCCTAGTACCAGGGGGAAAAGAAAGCACTATGCGCTTGGCTCTTCCATCTGTGGGAGGTCATACACTGAGCCACATCAGATCAGACTGACAGAGTTCAGGTGTAGAGGACACAGCATGGGGCAACAAAAGATTCAGAGGGAAGTTTCCCCTTCTTCCCTAGAGGGCTGGGCATGCATACAGGAGAGTCAAGAGTCCAGAGAAAGGAAGTGGAGGAGGAGGTAGAAGGGCACACTGCCAAGCCAAGCAGGGGCTGTTGTCATCTGGCACAGGAGTGAGTCTCTTGGGTGAACAGAAGTCTGGGAGCAGGAGGGTCAGTGCCACAGACATGCACCAGAGGGCTTGGTGGGTGGGGTAAGCTCTCCAGCCCCACTGCCCGACAAGCTGAGACACATGGCTTACCTGACCCCCCTCCCAGCTCTCAGCAGAGGAGGAGAGAAAGAGAGAGAAGTTAGTCTCTGAGACTGTGCACCGGGGCGGCAAGAGCCACTCCTCCTTGTGTTCGTTGTAGCACACCAGCACTGGGGCCTGTGGGCATAGCTCACCCCAACCTGGGTCTCCAGAGCCACAAGCTCACTGCAGAAGTGATGTGGCCTTAGGTGGTGCTGCGGAGCGGGGGCACAGGGGAGCTACACCATCACCCACAGCCAGGAAGGAGGCCTAGTGTCCTGCCGGGTATGGAGTGTGGCTATGTGATGACAACTTCCCAACAGAAGACGAGGGGCCGGGGATGGGGGAGCAGAGAAGTGCGACAGCTGCTTCCGGTGCTCACCTTGATGGCCTGTCCAAAGAAGCCCTTCCCCAGGATCTCCCCATGGATCAGGTCACACGGCCGGAAGATCTGCTGTGAGTAGCTGCTAGAGCAGCGGAGGGATTCTGAGCGGCTGATGTCACGGCTCAGCAGCAGGGGCTCCTTGGGGGAGCTGGGGCCAGGGGACTTGGAGATGCTGTTACTGCGCCTAAGGTGAGGGAAGATGAAGGCTGAAGGTACGCATCTCAGGCACACCGATCTGTTCCAAGGTCTATAGTTAGGATGCTATAGTTTGGAGGATGGGGGCTGTTAAACACATGTGCTATTTTGGAGCTACAGATACAAGTAGTTGTTTTTTTTTTTTTTTTTTTT